CGGTTAAGCGTCCGACTTCAGCCAGGTCACGATCTCGCGGTTCGTGAGTTCGAGCCCCGTGTCAGGCTCTGGACTGATGGCTCAGAGCCTGGAGCCTGTTTCCGATTTTGTATCTCCCTCTCTCTCTGCCCCTCCCCCGTTCATGCTCTGTCTCTCTCTGTCCCAAAAATAAATAAATGTTGAAAAAAATTTTTTTAAAAATAAAATAAAATGAGAAGCTATTGGCACCCCTGGGTGACTCAGTTGGTTAAGTGTTGACCCTTCATTTTGGCTCGGATCCTGATCTCACAGTTTTGTGAGTGCTGACAACTCAGAGCTTGCTTAGGATTCTCTCTCTCCCTCTCTCTCTGCCTCTACCCTGCATGTGCTCTCTATCTCTCAAATAAACTTAAAAAAAAATGAAATGAGAAGCTGTGTACGAAAATAACTGGAATATCTATGTGATTATTTTATTAAATATTTCTCTTTTGGAAATGATGCTATAAATATTTGATTTCACTGTACACATTTAAAATCTAAACATATTTTCTTGTCTTTTTATTCTTGATGTATCACTTAGCTGCAAGAAAGCTAGATTTTGAATAATTTTTGTTTCCAAATAATATGGAATTACCTACTATCAAATGTTGTTTCTTCTATTTATTGAATTCCTTGGTAATTATTCCTAGTACAAGACTGTGGAAAAAATAGCTGAACATGTTATATTCTTCCCTCTGTTTTCATAAACTTATAGTCACTTCTGAAATATTTAGAATGCTGGTTACAAATAGAATCACTTAGGACTTCATATCTCTCAATTAACATACACAATACAGTAATAACACATTTATTCCATTGTCTATAATAAGATAATACTATTAAATAACTATAAAGTTAAAATTATAAAATTTAAATCAACTGAAAATACTTACATTAGGATTATTAACCTGTATTAGTATTTATGAAGTAATTAATGAAAGAGATGACTTTAAAAATTTCTTCACTCTCAAAGGTCAAAGTCTATTAGGTAAATGTTTGCAAATTTAGAAACATTTGGGGTAACAGTTAGAAATATGCTATGTGGGGGCGCCTGGGTGGCGCAGTCGGTTAAGCGTCCGACTTCAGCCAGGTCACGATCTCGCGGTCCATGAGTTCGAGCCCCGCATCGGGCTCTGGGCTGATGGCTCAGAGCCTGGAGCCTGTTTCCGATTCTGTGTCTCCCTCTCTCTCTGCCCCTCCCCCGTTCATGCTCTGTCTCTCTCTGTCCCAAAAATAAAAATAAACGTTGAAAAAAAAAAAAAAAAAGAAATATGCTATGTGTTTTTCTTCTAAAGTTATTTTTGTATTTGATTTGAAAATTGAAAGAAATTGGACAAAAACTATAATGCACCGTCTTCCCACCTTAGCACAAACATTCTTGGTATTTTTATACAGCAACTTTCAGGTTTGTTCCCCTTCACATGCTTAGCTGTATGCATAGCGTCCAGATAGTTTGTACCTAGATTTCCATTAATGTTTTGTCACATACAACTTTATACACCACAGAATCTTTAAACCATCTCTACCGTGTGGAAAAGTCCACAAAGTGTATTTGATATAATTTATTTACCATTTTCTTCCTGTCACAAAATTAGGTTGTTTCTAATTTCTATCACTATCATAGTATACTGAAATCCTTCTTCCAGATTTTGAAATATCTCTTTATAAATATGTCTCAAGAATGAGATTTCTGAGACAACTAGAATAGTCGCTGTAAATGACTCTTGATCCCTATGCTAAATTTCTTTCTAAAGAGTTTGTTACAATAAATCCAGTAATACGTTTTATCAAATACTCCAAGAGTAAATTTTTTTTTTTTTTAAATTTTTTTTTTTTCAACGTTTATTTATTTTTGGGACAGAGAGAGACAGAGCATGAACGGGGGAGGGGCAGAGAGAGAGGGAGACACAGAATTGGAAACAGGCTCCAGGCTCCGAGCCATCAGCCCAGAGCCCGACGCGGGGCTCGAACTCACGGACCGCGAGATCGTGACCTGGCTGAAGTCGGACGCTTAACCGACTGCGCCACCCAGGCGCCCCACCAAGAGTAAATTTTAACAAACAAACAAAAATCTTTCAATTTTGTTTGTGAAATATAATATCGCCATGGTTTACATGCCTACTTTCTAATAAATATAATGAATTATTGAACTTTGAACACATAATTATATATCATTACATTTAAAGCATTATTAGATCTCTGAAATAACATTTTCAATGTGGATAGAGCATGTCTATTAAAATAGGTGATCTTCTGTAAATTATGACTTTGTAAGATGATCATGTTTAGGACATTAGGTAAACTACGAATGTGTTACCGTCTCTTGATAGTACCACAGCAGCTCTTTATTATAATATAATGTTTTTACCTCCCCTTTCCCTGAGCAAACATCGTCCCCACCAACCTAAACTCCCAGGGAATTAAACGTAAAATAGATTTAATACTCATCTAGAACCACAGTATTTTAAATATGAATTTGACAAACGGCTGATATTTTTCAATGCATCACAAAGAAACAATGGAAATGTATAGTTAATGATAATTACCTTGGAGTTACAAATTATTAATCTAATAAAGAAGTGAAAAGTATATCTGTTGTTTTTCAGGTCACAGATACGTTGAGTGTAACACATAACGAAGGCTACTTGCAAAGGGCATGATGCGCTCTTAGACAAACCAGGACATGCTGGGGTTTAAATGCTTGTGGCACTGGGGCGCCTGGGTGGCTCAGTCGGTTGAGCGTCCGACTTCAGCCCGGGTCACGATCTCGTGGTCTGTGAGCTCGAGCCCCGCGTCAGGCTCTGGGCTGATGGCTCAGAGCCTGGAGCCTGCTTCCGATTCTGTGTCTCCCTCTCTCTCTGCCCCTCCCCCGTTCAAGCTCTGTCTCTCTCTGTCTCAAGAATAAATAAACGTTAAAAAAAAATAAAAATTAAAAAAAAAATGTTTAAATGCTTGTGGCACTGAGCCGTTTACTTAACTCCTCAGCTGTTTCTTCTGTCAGGTGACTATAATAGTGAGAATATTACATCCTTATTTTGATTATTAAAGAGGTGATGCATGCCTGCATAATAAATTCTCAAAATGGAAGCTATCCTATGAACACTCGGGGTTTAATTTCCCCCTTGAAATTCATTGTCCCATTTACTTCACTACCTACATTCCATCAAACAATCTAGACTAGACTCAATGTTACCTAGTTGATTTATACTTTTTAAATATAGCACTGATAAATACCAAAAACAGACACAATTTCCTAAAATGATCTGCATCAGTGAACATGATTTACAGCAAATTAGTTGTTATGGGCTCAAGTACTCCCAAGGTACTCAGATAATTTTACAAAGCACAGCTACACAGACAGGAATAAAGACTATGTACTTGCATGTGCTGGAGAACATCATCTTCTTTATGTCCCCTTATATTTGTATCATAAGAATTAAAGTAGCATGCTGTATATTTCAACAGTATCGTTCTAAAGACACAATCTGTCTTTACAATTTGAAAGATTTCCTGACCAATAATATCAGATAATGAGTTTTAAATATTCTGAGTAACTTTAAATTTAAGCATCCTTTGCCACCAGTATATGGAGAATGTATCTTTTAAAAAGGTAATTATTTAGTAAAATGTCGGACTATGATACAGTGAAAAGGATCCTGAATATTATTAATATTATGATAAAATTTATTCACTTTATAATTTCCATTTTTAAAATAAACACTTTGGTGGTTCTAAAATAAGAACCCTTATCTCTAACCACTGAGTCACGTAAAATTTGTAAAACATGATATGCAGAAAATAGTGAAGTCTAAGAAAGCCTTGCTTTCATCAAATTAGGATATTAAAATGCTACTTTGAATAACACAAATCTTAAATGAATGCCTGAGATGAATTTTTAAAAGGCAATTAAATCTGGGGGAAGAAAGGCAAGGTGAATAAGACAGCCAAGATCCCTTGTATTTTGAATGTACTTCTGTGTATGACGTGGACCTCAATGGAGTTTGTGAACCATTAACTTCAATTACACTGAAAACCCCAAACAAACCCCGGGCACTGTAAATCTCATTAATTTTAAACACATGGGGACTGGAATAAATGGACTTTGAATTAACTCAATCCAAATTACCTAATATTAAAATATAATTGGAATTCAGTTGCTTTAAACTGCTTGCCAGTCTGAAAGGCAGAATAGATTGCTATACTAGGGTTTACTATAATTTTATCTACTTTTGAAGTTTCAGCATATTATCTTTATAAGTAAAGTATGATTTCAAAATTGGAAAAATAAAAAGAATTTTCACTGATATTTCCATATATTTCCTTAAAGTTGAGGGATGTTCTAACAAATACAAGCTCTAGAAGAGGGAAATTTTACTATGAGTTGGTTAAACTAAATATTAAATTCCAAACAGAAGGGTCAACTGTTAAATATGCCTGATAATCTCTTATTTTTAGTAAAATTATAATGTCAATATTTGTAGGTTTCATACTATAATCTTTTCTATAGTGGTAAGGCAAAGTATGATTTTAATATCCATTTAGCAATAAGAATGAAAATATAATAAAAGGAATAAGAAAAAGGTTGTTAAATAATAAGACCAAAAAATGTGTTGGTAAAATGAGATCAAATATTCCAAAAACAAAGATAAACCATTTTGAAAAAGCCTGCCACTTTTTCAAAGTCTTGTATCATTATCCCCATCCGTTTATAAAGTCACCATATGAAAACACTGTAATAACTTTGTGTTATTTGTATTAGCCTTCATAAAATTTGATTGTTAAGTGTTTAGGAGCTACATTTTATCAGGGCCCCAATTATTAACCTTCTATTTATAAGTAAAAAAAAAATTGTTAAACCTACAATAAATGTTCGTGCATTCTATGTCCCTCCAAGTTACATTTACAGAAAACTATGAAGAATAGATAATAATTTAAGCCAATCCACCTTGAAAGTCCACCATATACACATGGAATATTGATACCTGAGAAGAAATGTGCTTTGAAGCCCTTCTTGGATACAGTGTTGTCAGATCTGAATTCAATTCTCATATTGTTGAACTGAGATGTGATCACTTCAGGCACTTCGGCACCACAAAATTTGCCATGCAATTTAGACTCCGAGGAAAGGCCACTCCAAATCTCCACATAATCATATTTGCAAACCTAGAAAAAACAAAATTATTATAGACACCAGATTTTAAGAGTCTCATGCTCTACTGACTGAGCTAGCCAGGCACTGTATAGTCACAGATTTTAAAGTGTCAGAGGATTGACATTCATTTTTGAAAAGTCTACTATTTCTTTCTCTCTTTAGTCCTCTGGTAGTCAAATTGGAATTAACAAGTAAACAAACAAACAAACAAAATCAGAGAAAGAGTCCAAATATGAGGTGGATGGCATGAAAAATAGACTAGTGAATTTTGCTCTGAATACCTATTTGTATATACAAATGTGTGTTTGTTTATATGTATTTACAATATATTTTTTTCCCAAAGAATAGAGTTTAGGAGAACTGAGATGAATATTTGTTGAGATAATGGTGCTGATGGTCACAAGAACATCCTTTGCGGCCTTAAAAAATAAATAAATAAATAAATGTTTAGATATTTTCACTAGGAACTGTGAAAGAACTTGTCATGTGCTGTCTTAGTTAACGCTGACAACAATTACATCGAATTGCCATTTAGGGACACCTGGGTGGCTCAGTAGGTTAAACATCCGACTCTTGGTTTTGGCTCAGGTCATGATCTCACATTTTGTGAGTTCGAGCCCCACATCGGGCTGTGTGCTGTCAGTGCAGAGCCTGTTTGAGATTCTGTCTCCCTCTCTCTCTGCCCTTCACTTGTTTGCTCCCAACCTCTCTCTCAAAACAAATAAAGATAAACTTTAAAGAAGAAAAATTTTAAAAATCTAAAAAAATTGGTACATTTAAAGTCTATAAAACAACCATTAACAACAGAAACCTTCCTTTCTACCGTAAAGATAAGAAAACTGAGGTTCAGAAATTTTTAAATAAAATGTCCAAAATTATACTTATCATACATGGCAGTTCAGTGAAAACAGCACAGAGTTTGCCTTGGTCCCGTGCTGTCTCCCAGAAACGCTGTGTCCTAATCAGAAGAGTACCCTTAGGAAATTTCAAAGAAGACACAGACACTGTGGTATACAAGAAAAAGGATACCTCGTCTTTCAAATTCATCAAACAAATTGATACTTCTTAACTTCTTTGAGTTGCTAGGCACTATAAAGTTACTCTGTAACTATACCATAGAATTGCAAACAAATAAAAACTCTATGTGGTGGAATGGAGAGGGGAATTTACACTAAAATAAAGTAGACTCATTCTGTTTTATATGTAATGCACTAACAACACCAAAGTGGAAGAAGCTACGTGAACGCCAGGCATTCTTAAGCAATTTTATGGCTACTCTAACAGATGTTTCCATAATACACTTCTCCAAAGTTCCAACAGAGCACATTCTAAAGAATATATCTTGCATGAATGACCTTATTACATAAATGTGTAATTAGCAAGGTTTAACAATGCATATGATTGAACCCTGGGGCATGATCTGTACTTTGCAATATGTCAACTCAAATTGAAGTTTCTTGTGATATTAATTAGGTGACAAATAAGCAAAAGGTTGTTAGGAAAAAATTAAAAGTTTACAACTTCAGCCTCTGTTTAGAGAGGGCTCTGGCACAGACTAGGAGAATGTTACCAAAGTTAAAGTTGTTTGACATCATCTTTCCTTTGGATATCAATATAATGAATACAACAATGGACTTTCAACTTTGTCTGATATTCTATAAGTCAAGTTTTTGCTCATGTCTTTAAGTAAGCAAGACACCAAACCACAAAAATACACAGAATTCTGTAACAGCTTTCCACATAGTAACATCATTATAAGTTTAAGAAACTTGGGATATCTTATCGAGTTTATAAAGGGTCCTTCCAGGAACAAAGAACACAGCACCCATGGGAAAAATGCTTTCAGAATACAGTGACCCATTTATTTAAAACCACGTATCCCCCCATCCTCTTGAATACAAACTTCTAGCCTTCCTAGTAACATCTATCAACCAATGAATCAAAAATGTTGTATCTGTCACAACTAATAGCTTCAGGAGAAACTGACAGAGTAGAAGTCATTCAACACTAAGTTCATACCACATCACAGAACTGGTAGGGAGATGATCATTTTCAAAAAGGGTCGCTCATATGAAACCTTTTCTAAAATTGCTATAAAAATCTGTTCTTCATTTCAATATTTCTCAAAATTTCAGGGAATTATTAAAGGAAAATGATATGTCATGTGGACAGAGTATGTTAGAAACATAAACAGTTTTTGCCATCATAAAATGTACACATGATGTAAGGAAGGTCTCAAAAGAGGCCAGCTGAGCTCTCATTTCTATAATTCTCTGAAATACATAAGTTCATCACCTTTCAGATTTTAATTTCCTTTAAGGAAACACAAAAGCCAGGAACTTCTTACCTCAAAACCATTAGTAGGACTAAAAAAATGCACACGAGTGCCTTGATGGACTACTACAGGCAGAATTAACAGAAAAAAAAAATAAAAGGAATTAAGAAAAAATAAAGAAAAGCAGGAGGGGGGAAAAACAAAGATACACATACAAAGACAAAATAATGGTGTAAAAATCCCTAAATATTACCAACTATTATTTCCCAGGAGAATAGATACATTATATTTCTGTTATCTCACTTCTTTATAAGTGTTCAACATATATATGTATGTATGTGTGTGTGTGTGTGTGTGTGTGTGTGTGTGTGTGTGTGTATGTCAGAGACAAAATAATTTTTGAGTTGATTTTATCATACTTAAAAGTTTTAAATCATGTTTGTTTTAAAACAATCACAGAAGTCATTGGAAGAAAGGATATGGAAGTTAGAAAATTAAAAAAAAAAGAAAAGGAAGTGGGAAAACTCAACAAAACTGAAATTAAACCAATGTTGACCAATCATACAAAGGACACAGTCCTAAAAGTTCTCATTTCTAGACTTGACATTCCATTCGAATTTGGTGTGTGTGCACTAGCACCTAGGAATTCTCAAATAAATGATTTCGCTTGTTTGAATGTGGCCACCTGGCAGAAAATGGGTCCTTTATTACAATAAGCTATATTTTGTAAAGGAAAGATAGAGTCAACTAAATGCTTCTTTGATTGAGATTAAAAAATTAATCTTTATTTATAATCATGAACATGTTCATAATGAAAAACTACTTAATACTGAAAATATACTCATCGCCACAAGTAAAATATAGCAGGTTATTCTAAATGGCTTCTTCACCCACTTTATTTATCTCAAAGAGTTGGGGGAGAGGGGCAAAGGGAAGGAGAGAGAGAATCTTAAGCCAGCTCTGTGCTCAGCATGGAGCTCGACATGGGTCTCAGTCGCACGACCCTGGGATCATGACTTGAGCAGAAACCAAGAATTGGATGCTCAACCAACCCAGGAGACCTTAAATAGATATTTTTGTTTTGACTCAAGCAGTGGATATTAGTTGATTGATGTTTTTAGAAAAGTCTCTGTGACATGAAGCGGACCTTAATTTTTCCATATTTCTTGGATAAATGAAGCTGTATAATAATACACTAAGTAAAAACTCCCTCTAGGTAATTTTCAGTCTCCCAGAAACAGTCTAAAATATCATCCAATGTTGGGGCACCTGGGTGGCTCAGTCGGTTAAGTGCCCTACTTGGGCTCAGGTCATGATCTCATGGTTCATGACTTTGAGCCCCACATTGGGACTCATTCTCCAGCTCAGAGCCTGGAGCCTGCTTTGGATTCTGTGTCTCTCTCTCTGCCCCTCCCCTGCTCACACTCTGTCTCTCTGTCGCTCAACATACATAAGCATTAAAAATTTTTTTAAAAAAATTAAAAACAAATAAAATAAAAATAAATATCATCCAATGCCAACAGAAATTACAAACAGTTGCAGAAATGAACAGTACAGCAAAGACTGTAACATCTATATGACTGTACTTCTGTAACCCTTCCCTCCTTCCTCCCTTCCTTCCTTCCATTTACCAGGTTGTCTTCAGAGGTTCCCAAAACACAACAGAAAAAAAAAATTGCACTTATTATTCACTTACTTCATTGCCTTCCAATTCAAAAAACTCAAACTTCATAGAAATTCTGTATTGGGTTGGTGCAACCACTTGCCACACACAGTTTTTATTAGGAGGGTACTCCTTGGGCCACCCTGGAGTGGTTATAGTGCCATTAAGTTTGGTAAGAAGTCCGCCACAAGCCGCTAGAAGGAAAGAAAAGGACAAAGTTTTCTCCTATAGAGTCATTCCCTTCTTAGCATCTTTCCATCGATAACCAAACATCTCAGCATTAAATTTCAACCATCTTCCAGATTTTTCAAAATCTAGAAAGCCTCAGTCTCGGCTCCTTAGTTTTTGCTACAACTATTTTAATTATCTAATCCCATTTATAAGGCACTAACTTGTAGTTTTGGATCCAAACAAGCTACAACTGTGTAACAACATTTCAGATCACTTTAAAGTTAGGAAAACAACATAAAGAAAACTGGGTGTCAGTTCTCTTTATCTTTTAAATGGGTAGTATAATACCTACACAGTATGGTTGTAAGCATCAATATAGGCTGATGCAGTGAGACCAAAATCAGTTGTTTATCTCTTCAAACTCATTTTGCCCAAGATGAGCAACTCTTGGGAGTTAGTGAGCTAGCAAGCTGGATACACTAGAGTAAATAGATCGTATTTGTTATTTGAAAACCTCATTTAACGACTGTTTTTTCTTCCCCTTTTGGATGATCTATTTAAAAGAGGTACTATTTAATACCTTACCTCTCTTGCTTATTGTTAGTGAAATTAGCAAAATAGGGTATCCAAAAGTAAAAAGAACACATATTGTACAAGGTTTGTAACTAATTCCTAGGGAGTCAAGAGTTACCTAAAGTAAGTGCTCTCTTTATTTTAATTGCCTTTGTATATACATGTGTATGTATGCATATATGCATGTGTACATATGTATATTACTACATTTATTCATGTATTGTAAAAACTTCCTGTACTTTCACATCTACCACTTTTTGGTAAATTATTATAAAGTAAAATAATTATTCTTAGGCACCACACTGAACTAACAACCACATTGTCTGGTATACAATGTCCTCTGTTTTAAAGATACTGCATCGCCTACTGTGTCTATTTTATCTGAGTACAGAGAGCAGATCAGTAGTTTAATAGACAGGATGGAGACTTTTGTCACAGAGAAAAGTTGAAACTTTTAAGAAGAAACAGAGAGACTGACTTTTTTTTTTTTTTTTTTTTTTAATTTTTTTTTTCAACGTTTATTTATTTTTGGGACAGAGAGAGACAGAGCATGAACGGGCGAGGGAGAGACTGACTTTTTAAAGTAGGTCAGGAAGCAAAGACGTCCGCCATGTTTGCCACTGTTATGTCCTCTATTGCAGACACCAGAGAGAGCAAGGTGCTCATTTTTAGGGAACTTCCATTTGCATTTTGTGGGCACCACCAAAAGTAAACTTAATAAATACATCATGATAAGTAACGCTAAATTGCTACAAGCTTTATGAAGATGATTTGGGCAGACATGTTGAAAGAGGAATAAAGGAGGAAGTGACCATTGGAAGGAAGACCAGTGTGTTTATTTTGTTATCCAAGCATGGGGCCTGTAATAGGATGAAGCAGGGGAGATGGGAAAAAAAGACAAAGCTTTAAATTCTGAAGGAAGACATCACAGGACATGGCAACAAAACATTGTGCAAGAAATCTCCTCTTAGAATGTGTAGAGGAAATGGGGAAAACAGCAAGACCTCTTTGTTTATGAATCATTTATCGATAAAACACATTTAGCTCCAACTTTATATTTGTGCTAAATACTAAAGATACAAAAAAAATTCAGATTCAGGATTCTGCACTTTAGTAAGGGAGATGTACCCATAAAATATGTTAAGAAAAGGTAAAAATAAATGCCAGACAGATGGATAAAAATCTAGGTTTCGATAGAGATAAGAGTAGAAATAGATGGATAGATGGATGATATAGATAAATAGTGACAGCAAGAGAGAGAGAGAGAGAGAGAGAGAGAGAGAGAGAGAGAGAGAGAAATACACATATAAACAAGGTGGCCTGGTAACCAAAGGAGGAAATGACTGATTCTATAACAAGAACCCAGGCTAGGAGTCATGTTAGCTATGACGAAACACTGAGTCTTGGGACTCTTGAGGAAACCTCTTGAGGAAAGAGGTTTCTGTGGAGGAAAGGAAAGAGGGAAGCAGAGGGGAAGAAAATGACAGGATAGGAAAGAAAGAAGGAATGGAGCGGCGGTGGTGATTTGGAGGATTCAGGCAGGAAGCGCCACCTGCAAATGCAGCCCTACCTTCACAGCCCCTCTTGTCAGGTCCCAGCTCGTAGCCGGGCTCACACACACACTGGTAACTGCCCAGTGTGTTCAGGCATCGCTGTTCACAGCCCCCACGGTCAGGTTTGGCGCACTCGTCTTCCTCTGCAAAGATGGCGAGAGTTAGAGAACAAGATACAGTATTTGGTTTTACATAGTAAGGTGTAAAATTTTCTGAAGATGTGACACTTAATACCTGAATAAAACAGGGACAGTTGATTTCTTCAACAAAGGGGCAGGGGCAATTTGTAAGCCCTTGACAGCTGGTGTACCAGAATTCATGTCACTACAATCTAATTAGTGTATAAGAACCAAGGGAGGGACTGGAACCTTCTATCAGTGCCAACTGAAGATCACCTTATCTCAGACAAGTATGTGGGTTTTTTTCTGATTTTTAAGGGCTAAAAGAATTCTTACAATGTATAAAATTTCCAGAATAAAATAGAAAGGCTTACTGAAAAAATATAGCTTCACCTGTTGATTTCATAGTATAGTTTGCTAGAT